TAATATAATATAATATAATATAATAATATTGGCGGTAATAACTCGAACTTTAATGGGCGAGAATGGTGAGCTGTTTTTGGAACTTTGTCACAAGGTCACTTGGAAGTCTCCTTCTGGTAACTTTGAAAGTCAGATTGATCATATCTGCATGTCAAAACGATGGAGTGAAGGTCTATGTGATATCAGAAACCACATAGACCTTCACCACATAGAAGCGGTGATATCGGCAGTGACCACTATTTAGTGGTGGCCCAACTGAAACTTAATATACCTCAACATAGGTATGAAAGCCTGCAGTAAATACGGCGCACATATAACACCACAAAGCTTCGGGCTGAAACGGTAAAGAACGAAAGGTTTGCACGTATTAACAACGTCAGTTTCTTGGTAGGGGCTTCTATTGAGGACACGTGGCTTCATATAAAATCTCGAGAGAATCTGCAAGGATACACCCGGCTACCGTAAAAACGAGCAAAAGGAATGGATATCGGCATGCTCTTGGGGGCTCATGCGTTAAAATGAAAATGTTAAGAGAGTCGGACCAGCTAAAAAAAGCTGAATACACCACAATGTACAGGAGTCTTAGCAGGCAAATCAAGAAAGCAGTCAAAAGCTACATAAGGAACTATTCGTAAAACTCAATAAGCTTTACGTCCAGTGCACTTGTGCATCGACCAAATTAACACCATCAGAATACTTATTAAACAAGCTTCAGAATGGAATGCAACTTTGTATCTAACATTTATTGATTTTGAAAAGGCGTTCGATGCGCTCAAGAGAAGTTATATATGGCTAGCGTTAAACGCTGAAGGTATTCCTAATAATAGCATTAATATTCTCAAAAAGAGCTCCATCCCACGAGCAGAGTTTTACATGAAGGTACTCTCACCATCGAAAAATTAACGCCTCAAAGACAAAAATAATGAGAGTGAAAGCAAGCAATCCAATCACTCATTCTTTTGTATGATCATAACATTAAAGACGTGCAGGAACTCGAATACCTGGGAATTATAGTCAACAGCGATAGAGGCACGTCAAAGGACATCGACAACAGAGTGAAAAAGCCAAATGGGTCTTTAGCGTCGCTTAACAAAGTCTGGAAAGCCAACAATTTAGGCTTCGAAACTAAGATCAGAATATTCAACGCCTGCGTAAAATCGACATTATTATATGGGTGCGAAACATGGTCGCTAACGAGGGCGTCGACTCAGAAGTTGCAAACCTTTGTCAACAGAAGCCTGTGGCTTATTCTGAACACATTCTGAAATATGAACATATTTTATAACTAGTATTTGTGAATAGACTAAGTTCTAAATTTAATTTTTTTTTATGATTTAAATGTTATAAATACTTAATAAAAATACTATATAATTTAAACTTAAATATAATATAAATGTAATATTAATACAATATAAATACTATATAAATACAATATAAATATTATATATATAATATAAAAATAATATACATTTAACATAAATTCAATATAAATACAATATAAATACAATTTAAATACAGTATAAATGTAGCCCCCATTCTGTGTACTTGATAAATTCACCATCTTGCTTATTTATCGAGGTTTTGGTAACCGTGCTATAACATAAATAAAAAGGTCTTTTTTTGATAAATTATCAAGTTGACAAGCTCTTGACAAATAAAATGCTCTTGCACTGATCGCACAAAATTGTTGTTTATATGGATAATAACATTCTAAATAGTACAATTACTGAACTTATAATTATTTATTATTATAAGTACTGTAAAAATGTAACAATATGCCTTTTCGGTGACTTGCAAATGTGGTAAAAAATACATGTTGGCCTATATTCGCTAAGCGAGACATTGGCATCACTGTTGCAATCTGTCAAATGTTATATTATGGCAAATAGCAAATCAAGCAAATATATTTTGTACAAAATAAATAGTTAATATAAGATTGAAAATTAAAACGAATACAGAATTTAAAGTAATGATAAGGATAAGGAATGACATATGATTGCAATATTCGTTTGAATTTCCAATGATGGTTCACAATAGTTCGTATATTGCGTTGGTAATACTTTTTTCTTTACTGGCCGAAGTATTTGGCCAGTAAAAATCTACTGGCCCAGATAAAGAAAATAGTGTTGTTGTTTTGCGTACATTTCAGCTAGTAAAGGTCACCAAGATGCCACTAAAACGTCTATTATTGGTGAATTTATAATTGTTTATTTAAGTGTTGTAGATATATAAGAAGTTTTAAATTTTCTATTAGCATAATAAAATTCTAAATCAGTCCACACACTACTTATGATTTTTATATACATAACACTTTTCACCACAGTGTGGTGAAAATTGCAAGGCACTTGAGATTCGAAATTGATCAAGATATGCACAGAGTAGAAAAAATCTTGATTATTTGTCAATACTTGATAAATTGGTCGAGTTTACAGAATAGGGGGATAATATGTTATGAAAATCATATAAATACAATATAAAAATAATATTAAAATGAGTTCATATATTGAAAATGTACTTGGGTTGAAACTTGTTAAATGTTGCTTTAAAAACATAATAAAAATTAAACTTAATTTATCATAAATGCATGTCTTCATTGTTTTTAAACAGATGTAGTTCAACAAACATTGATAGGACTTACGAACACAAGGAATAAGAACATTGAGGTGAACTAGTAATTGATCTGGTGAACATTTTAGTTCAAAATCGAAATTTAAAATCAATGAAAAATACAAGTTTTTCAATAAGTATAGTTATAAGTTATAAGAAAAAATATAAAACATTTAGCAAACAGAATCAAAGACTTGCTAATACGAGTATGATGCCTTGCCAATAACTTTTATTTACTCTTCTGGTTTGTATGATCATTTAATCTATGGAAGTCCAGATTATTGTTTGTTGAAAGATATCTGTTTTTATTGTTGTATATTCATTGCTGTGCTTATAAATACATACTTACATCGTCACTGCAATATGCGGTGACGCATATACTACACTTATTTTGTTAAAATATTTGGATAACCTAATAAAATTACTTTTACTTAATTTTACTTAATCACTTTTTACTTAATTATCATTTTGCTATAGCTTTTATATTGTTGACAATGATCGTTATAAATAAACAACCACACATAAGGCTGCGGTCACATTGCCTGCAAATATTTTATCTTGCGTTCTCGTACGTATGTTTTCTCATGCGAACACAACGCATGTTGTGGTTACATTGCTTGCGAATTGACAGTTCTGTTTTGTTTGTTTTGAAAACAAAATGGATAGCAAATTTGCAATACATTTTGCGGAAAGTCATTTAAGTAATATCAAGTTATTTATTAATTTCAAATAACAAAAGATGAATTTGGGTGCATTAATTTTATTCTTCAAGGTATAAAAATGGAGAGTTTGTCTATTCCTAAAACAAAGAAATTAGCAAATCGCAATCCATTTCCTAAAAGTAATGTGCATTTTATTCAAATTTATTTCCATATATAAATTTAAAATTACGTTAAAATAACTCACACCTCTCAATTTCATTATTTACACTTTTAATTTCAAATAAAATATTTTGTTTAATCAAATATTCGCATGAGAAAGACAAGACGTCGCGCGAATAATTCTTAGCAACTGTAACCACTTACATATGAGTGGTTCGTTCGCACGCAATGTAACCGCAACCTAAGCCATCCTCAATTCCTCACACATATGACACCATTATTGTGGAAGAGGACTCTAGTAAGTAAGTAAGTGAGTAATTTTGTTATATACATATATATAATTAAGCACACCAACAAATACTTATATGTCAGAAGAATTCATCACAATTTCAAATTTAATGTTCTGAATAGATCATTTTTAAACACCCATAAATGTATTAGGCCCTCAACTACAGTTTTATAGAGATATGTTAACATATGTTAATTCTGTGGATGTATAGTTAAGTAGTAGAAATAAGATACCAATAGATACATGCCAAAACATTTAGAGCTATATTGATTCTAGATATGTATATGTATATGGTAGAGTGTGTAAGATTGCTACATACTAGGTAATAAAGATCCAAAGTAAAATTACAACTACTGTACAGGTTTAGAGAGAGTGCATGCACTTAAAATGTAATTGGTAGTATAAAAAGTACAATTTGAAAAAAAATTCTTACACTGTAAAAAAGTAAAAATAATTCCAAATGTAACAAAATATGGCACACAAAATAATTATAAATTTTTGTTTGGTTTTTGTGGTTTGCGTTTTGGAGTTTAGCAGAATTGGTACTGTTTGTCTGTCGTTCGTTATTTACATAGTTTATTCTTGGTTTCTAGAATTATTAAAATTGAGGTTAGAGTTTTTAGCGTGCGTGCTGAATGGTGGTTTGTGTAGTGAGGTAGTTGCAGAATATATAATTGCGAGTAAATAGTACAAGTTTCTAAAAGTAAGAATATCTTAAGTGCAAAATATCTTTTGTTTTGTTGTTGGATTATTTCTGATGCTGTAGATAATGATTATAATTTGATTGGTTGTTTATTGAGATCCAAGTGCTTTTGTTTTGATGTTTTTTACACATTCAGAGGTCCAAATAACATAAGTGCTGCCGACGTTTTCTCTTTAGGGTTTGTTAATGAGATAAGGGACTTCTTTATCGGTTGTGAACACAATGCATATAATTTTGTGCTTCACTGACTATGAACATGTGCAAATGCCGAACGGATGATGTGTGGACACGCTGCTGCGTGTTGTGCGCACCCGAAACGCTTTACTGCTGCTTGCACCAACCGTGGCACGTGGACGCCTGCTGGCACTTCCGAACAGTCCAACGTGATCATTTACCAGGTTTTGTGTGTAAGGACGCGATTTGCCTACGATTGTTGCTGGCGTGGCATAAAGTAAATAATTGTCATAGATGTGACTAACATCAGAATTACGTTTTGCAGGTAAATATGGCAGGAAAGCAAAGGAGGAGGAGGTGGAATGGGTATGTTTGAGTGATGGTTTACGTGCTTGTATCAGTGCAATACGTGCACTGTTACGTTGCAGAGAGCTTTTACGCAAAGTGGATTGATTAGAATAGGTTGGAGGTATTATTTTGGTTGCAACTTTATATTCATATGTGGGTGATTCTCTAACTGGAATGGGTATAAGTGACCTTTGGCGTTTTTTTCGTGGTGGTGGTAGTATAGGCGGTTGTGTCTCATGTGTGTGCGTTCGAATAGCAGTTGAAGTGGCTGTTATCACTGTTTTAATTTGATCTGACTTTTCAGTTTCCGCTTTTGTGGACGTGAGCGTTAATGTGTTTGGTGATGATAATGTTACTAAAAGACTTTCCGTGCTTGTTGCAGGTACTGTTGTTTCATTTGTAACTATTATGCATTCTAATTCGGTTTTTTTTTTTAAATTCGATTCGCTTACGTACTTCGCATTACTATCATGAGTTCCGTTTGTGGTTATTGATCGATGTTTACTTGAAGATCTTTTTAGTTCACGCTCCACATCTCGCTCATGTTTGCGTTCAAGTTCACGTTTCGATGATGATGATGATGATGTCGGTGTTTGGGAATGACGTTCATTGCTCGCGGCTTTGCTCGAGTGACCTGCGATGAATGAAACTGTTAATTCTTGTTTTCAATTTCTAACAAAATATTTAATATATTATACACTGAAGAGGTTAGATGAAATATGTTAGCATAAAGTTTCGATTTTGTGTTTTGTGTTAACAGTGTAAGTGCAAATTTTGGTTCAAAAACTTCGGTTGGTTCTTGGAAAAGTTTTAAAAGCAGCTTTTTTAAAAGATTATTGGGATAATATACATATATAACATAATATTTATACATATAAGTATTATATAAGTATGTAAATATATGAATAGGAATATATTTGTGTTGCTATTATATTCACCTTTTCTATTTTTATCACTTTTATCACTTTTATACATATATATATATATATTTATCTTTTTTATTTTTTATCACTCATTCAGTAAATTATGATTGCCTTATAAAGTAATTAACAACAATAGTTGTTGTCTATGTTTTCGAAATTTTAAGTTTACTGTAGTGATATTCAACATTTCGAATAATAATCTCGGTAATCGAGTAATATAGTAATATAGTAGAGAGAATATACAGAGAATACCCAAAATGAGTTAAGATTAATAATCTAAACTTTTAATGACTTCTAGAGAATAAGAGAAGGGATAAATAATACGAGTAAGTAATAAATCATTATAAATTTATAAATATTCAACAACCGCTTTATCTTCTATATTCAGATTGAATGATTACTAACACGGAAAAATTGTTCCCTTTTGTTAGACTTTTGAAACATGAAGGGTGGTGAACGAAAATATTTTTGAATTAAAAAGAAATTGTTACATATTTCCCTTTGGATAATGTAGAATTAGGAAGATCCCACTTAAGTACTCAAACACAAAATTGGAAGTAATATGAGAATGTAATTAGAGAATGATTTTTTGTTGACTTTTGAATACTAAAACTAACAAAAGTTGCAATGAAGATCAACCTTTAAGATTATATCGAAAGTGTAGAAATATATGTTTATTTAAACTTTTTGTTAAAACAGTAAAAAACTCCCGGGTGCCAGTACTGAGAATCAATGAGCCATAACTAAGAATGTGTTTCTGGGTTTTGTAAAAAGTTCGTCTATCTATTTCGCTTATATCTCTATCGGTCATGTACTCGTAATTAAAAATTTTGAATAGACCAAATCCAAGGCGAAACAGCTATGCTAATGGATGAATAGCCGATGAGAAATAAATTTCAAATTAGTGAACTTTGGCACTTATCGAAAGTTTCACATATTTGCGGCATATGGTATTGCGATAAGAGATTATTGTCTTTTCCGTTATGTTTAAACATGAGTTACTAAATGTCAGCATTGTCATGTGAGCAAAAATGTCATGTCATCAAAAATAAATAAAAATCTTGAATCTATTAAAAATTTGTCATTCGTAAAAATAAAATCCTTAGAATCTCTTTCTATCGTATATCTAAGACAAATATTCATTCTATCTTGAAGAAGTATAAGTAACAGCCCAAATCTTTAAAACAAAGAAGGGATTTTGATAACATAATACTACTATGTTAATATTACTAACTAACATAATAATAGTATACATCTTTGGTGACAGGAAAAAATTAGCCGGTCTTCGAATTCATATCTACGAACTTTTTCGCTTAGCGAAATTCTCGGACGATTGGCATTTTTAAATACTTTTCAAAAGTCTTGAATCAAACCTTTAGAATACCAACGCTAAACTACCATGTCTGGAAAAGTTTTTAAGTTTGTTAGGTTAGGTTCAGCGTGTTATAAGGATTCTTATAGGTATCTATCGTACCATAATATCCCAATATTAAGGAGAATTGCAATATTGTAGTCACTTATACCTAAAACGGGTATAACTTTCTTATTATGTTCAATGACATTGAAGTGGTTCATCCGACGGCATTCCTCTTTGTACTTTGGGAAAAAATCTAACTATAATATCAGTACTTTAACAATATTTCATTAATATCCTATTTAAATGGTGCACTGTTGTGTTTATTAGGCAACACAAATCACCTTCCCTACGATCCATATATATGAAATAAAATGTACTAGAGTTTTCTAAAACTGCGAAGTATTTTTGTTTAATTTTAGATAGGAAACTCAGTTAAAATAATAATACAAAAAACAGATGCAAGATAAAACTTATGGCAATTTATATCTATAAGTAAACACTAGGCAAAAAATATGGCTTGAAACCTAAAATTGTCTATTACTTCTATAACTCGAGCACCAAATCGATGTTATTTTATGTCGTAGTTACTTGGTGGCCATCGCTTGCGATCAAAAGTGAAATTGTAAAGCTACATCATATTAAAAAAAGAGCTTATCTCTTAATTATAAAATGTTTAATGTTAATTCCTTCAAAAGCCGTAAAAACTTTTTACTCATCTGCTATTAATCGGTTAAGCAGCTTTTGACTACGGTGCTTACGCAACAATCAAAGTGAACTATATCACTTTGATTAATTGAAAAGATTTCTACAAAACCATCACTTCAGCATTCTAAAGAAAGCCAAAAATATCACAAGAGGTCAACTACCACATAAGTTAATTGAATGCTGAGAAGGTTATTTAAATACTCTATATGGAAATGAAATAAGTGGCAAAAGAATATTCCCGTCATTTACGGTCAATATACCTTTTATACAAATGGCTTTCAATTAAATATTAAGGATGGATTAAGGGGTTTACTCAATAACACAATTAAGGTAACACACAGAATACCAGACAATGTCAGTGTATTTTAAGAGAAAGTGGCGGCACTTAAAGCTGCTACTGATATAGATTGGCACTGATATTAGATGAGTTTATGTTGCTTGCTGATAGTCAAGCAGCTATGCAATCTTTAAGCTTTCCATATGATGAATTTTAAATCTTCATATCATGTGTCATATCTTTAAACGAGATTAGCTAAAAAAATAATATAGTAACTGACTATCTTGGCAATGGTATATGAACTATAGCGGTTAATACTATAGCAGTTGCTGTTAAGGCCTAAGCCTAAACAGCAGTTTTTCTGCCAATAACTCGAATATACTCTTTATTACTTAAAAAAGCAGAAATGAGATGGGTAAATAAGACAACTTGAACCAATATTAAACCAATTTGACTATATATAGCCAATCTATAAGGAACTAGCAAGCGTATTGATTTAATAGGAACCAGAAATGGCGATACTATATCTCTTGTTACTGGTCATTAACTAACGGTTAAACGCCCACACAGATTTCGAGTTCTAACAGACGTTCTTGTTTCTTCATTTATTCTGGAGACTACAAAAGCGCTATGGTAATGCAATGGATTTATAGGAATACTTTTTAATTCCAATTGCACAAATTTTCAACCAATGTTAAACCAATGTGTAAAGTTTATTCATCATGACAAATGCTTTCTCGATATTTATCACAACGTTTTAGCATTGGTGTATAGTTTGCGTTTCCTCAATACTTTATTTTTAAAAAAGAGTCTTCCTGACTAGCGCTTCAGAAGTTAAAGTCGAATAACAAACAGCAACGAAACAATTATTCGTACCAACCAAAGTCGCATTGTAGGTGCAGTGCAGTACGTGTGTGCAAGTATGTTGTTTTCTTGAAGTGCAAATGTATGCTGTTGGGTACTGTATGTTATCTAACCTAAGTAAATCTATGGGCTGTGTGGCACCCATAATTAAGAAAGCCAAAAGCAGTAATTCTGTAAGTAAAAATAAATTTACTTTAAATAGACACAAAACGTAGGTTACCCTGTAGTAAAGTCTTGAAGACACTTTCCGAGTTTTAGCTCTAGGCATTTTGAACGAATAGACGTGTAATTTAAGTTTTTACAACTTACCTCTAGATCGTGTTAGTTTTTCTTTTTCACCGCGTTCAGGTTTTGTTTGTTGTCCAATTGGTGTTGGACGTGTAACTCCTGAACCAATGCGTTCATGTTCATGCCTGTCATGTCTTGATTCACTACTGTGTTCATCTCTTCGTTTTCGTTCGTTATGACTGCTAGCATGTGCAGAGTGAAGCAATGTCTGCAGGTGATGATGCTGACATTTCATATCCTTACAATTACTACGTTCTCTGCGAGTAGAATGGGTAGAATTACCTGAGCGTTGCCTATCACCGTAAGAACGACTTAGTTGTTGATGATGATGGTCTTCTTTTTTATGTTCAGTACTTTCTGTACTATGCTTTTCTTTTGTGTGAGTTCCATGTGAGTGTCGTTTAGATTTGCTACTTACATGCCCTCTGCCATGAGATAGTTCTTCGGCTGACGAGTTTTGCACTGAACGTTGTGAATCGAGTGAATTCGAACGACTGTTAGATACAATTTTTGTTGTTTTCTTATGTATTGTGCTAGACGAGTGTTTGCCTTTCGTTCTGCTATCGTACTCCATGTCACTGGAAATTGAACCTGAGCGTGGACCACTTTCGGTGGATGATTGAGAAGAGGTACGTACACGTGTTGTTGGTGAAGGTGTAGAATGTCTTGAAGAGATACGTTTTGCTTCAGAAGATAATGTACTCCGTGAAACTTTAACTACAATGCATTTATCGTTTAACTTCTCCGTTATAGTCTTCTCATCAATGGTTTCAAGTGGCTTAGTATGACGCCGTTGTACACTTCGACGACGTTCATCTTTTATTGCTGCCTCGTCTGAAAGTGCCTAATATAATGTGTAAAAATTGCTGCATACTTTTATTTTTATTTTACTTACTTTCATTGTCTGGTCAGCATTTTTGGTCATCTCGTTTAAAATCATAGCATCACGTTTTAAATCGGTTTTTCTGTCATAAGAACTAGTTGGATTGAGTTGTTTAACTTTAAATACCGGTGTTAGCTCATTTGTTGTATTTTCGTAAAAATGTTCTATCTCCTGATCGATTAAAACAGGACTTGTTGACTTTGGAGTACTTATAGGTTTTGTTACCTTTTGTGTATTTTTCTGATTGCGAAAATTAGGATAGATTTCAGCCGTTCTGGTTATTAACTGTGGTTCAACAACAATGGGACTATGTCTTAGCAAGTCCGGCTTATCGTTTAATAAATGCCACTTAGTTGGATGTTTTTGTTCATTTAGTGCGGTTGGATAATCAAATTTATGATCATCTAATTTTTTATGCTGTAAAGTACGTTTCGAATTGTTTGCTACTGTCGGAGTAGTCGTCTGGACTTTCGTTATATGGATATTGTTGGCATTCACTTTTTCAGATTGTACGCCAAAATAAGATAATTCGTGTTCGCGTAATTTTCTGGCACCGCGCGTTTCTTTAATTATTTTTAATGGCTCTTTGATTGGTTCGGTTTTTTTTTGTGACGGAATCGGTATATGAACTTTTGTAGAATTAATCGGATAAGAATTTTTAATTTGTCGTTCTGAAAAAATTTGAAATATATAAATATTAATCAATTTATATTTAATGTCGGGCTATGGTTCAAATTATACTAGTAAATTATACTAGTGTAAGTGAACCAGTACATCAAGTCAAATCAAAGTAATCAAATATTACACTATCTTAAATATGTATATAATTACCCGATTGGGTTGTTCTAGGTTTTGCAATTGGAGTAGTTTTCTTCGTTTTTAACACATCTGCGGTTTTTGCTTCTAAACCGTCTTGGGGTGAGTGTAACTCAATATTCATTACATTGGATTTTGGAAGCTCTGAAAAAGTACATGTATATAACGTACTATAAATTAAAGTATAACTTAATATTATTTTGAAATTATTTCGATCATTATTGGGCCAATTTTAGCAAAACAAGAAAGTGCCGTAAAACATTAGTAAACAAGTCACCGCTTCTATAACATATTTTGCTAAAATTTGCGTGAATTGCGCAGAACAAAAATCCATGCGTTCACTTCTTCACGTGGATCACTCGCACTGTTCTGTGCAGTGCCGGACTTACAATAAAAATGTACAAATAAATGTTGAATAATTTCAATTGCAATAATATTATAAACATATTGAAAAATTAAATCAAAATTAAATAAGAACTTCAGAAATACATGTGTGAACTTAATAGAATTTTTGTATAGACTGCGTGAAATTTAAAAATTATTAACTCTTAAGTGTTTGTCTCTTATTTTAGATGATCTACTTTTTATTAACTCTTTACTCTTCTCGTACCTAATTATATAATCTCCAAATTTGTCCTTTGCAACTCTTACCAGTTCTATTATTTTGCATTTACCTTTTTTTTCCAAAATACTTTGCTGCTCTAAGTTGTCAGGCTCTATTTTCCACAGTGTACGCTTTGCTTTCACACGATTCCAACTATTGCTATATTCTATTATACGCTCATCGTCGAGTGAAGAGCTCTCCTGTGTACCACCACCACTATCACTATTTTCACTATTGCCACGAAAATAACTTTTTACTTCTTCATCTGTGCTATCATCTTCCTGTGTGGCGGCCATATCATATAAGTGTCGTAATTGTGACAATTGTTGACTAACAGGTATCTTTGTGTTTCCCAAAAGTTTCGGACGTGATGTGGGAAGATGCTGTAGGTCAGAACTACATGATTCCATCGAGTATCTGCGCTCAGATGTGGTAGACCACGAAGATGTTGAACCGAAGCTAGTCGATCTAGTTACTTCGGTGCTACTGTTTTCTAGTAGTGTGGTTGAATAACGTCTTGTTGGTTCCTGGTAACTTTTAGAGCGTACCATTGGGGTTGGCACGACAATAGGTGTCATAGCTGCTGTTTGCATTGAAGCTATTCTCAAACGACGCATTGCTTCATCAAACTCACTAGCCGAACGCATTGTCTTAATAATTAGCGAAGTGGATTTAAGACCTTCATCCAGCATACGTTGGTGCTCACGCAAATCGTGTAGCAAATATTCCTGTGCACTCGGCCGACTTTGAATTATACCAATTGTAGGCACACCTATTTATATGGTAAGAGTTTGTTGTTGTATGGTAAAATATCTCATTTTGCGTAATTTGGAGTGTTAATTTTTGTACTAAAATTGTGCGTACACCAATCAAATTAGTTGAATTAAGAAGGTGAGAGTATTATTAAGGCAGGAAGAGTCAAGTAAATGCAGGAAAAGTGATTTAATATAGTGGTAAAGAAAACTTTTTCTGAATATTTTGAAAAATTATTGATATGCAATAATGTGCTATAAAGACATGTTAGCTTATACCGGCGATCCCTGGTAGATCCACTTAGGGCTATTGGAAAAACTCAGGGTTTAAAAGCACCTAGAACTTTTGGCGAAGCCTAAAATGTTAACTATTCAGGTAGGTGATTGTAATAAATCACTTACGATGACAATGTTTATATATAGTTATATTTATTTACAACAGAGGTCGGCAAATTAATCTTTTAGCATAAACAGAAGAAAACTGTTCACGGCTTTTACATTATTTAATTGTTTAAAACATATCCAGAAATTATATGTTAAACATCAGGTAAATGAAATACCGTTAGAGACCATAAAATATGACCAATATTTTTAAAGACCTACATCAAGGTGATGTGACTATAGTAATATATTGCAAAACAAACTTAACAACGATAAATTATTTTTTAAATATGAACATTTAAATGAAATTATATTAATTATTAAATGTTATTTGTTGCTAACTTGTTGTACAAAAACATCTATATGTATTTTTCCCGAACTCTGATTCAGAGCAATGAGTTTCAAGATATGAGTTTTTTTAAACTGATTGCAGTAAATTTAATTTGAACTTATTTCCTTTACTTTTCTACTAAAATTTTTTTTATTTTTACTTAATGAACACTGAAATAATCTTAACTAAATACTTTGCATCAAACTACAGTTGATGGTTAAAACCAAGTTCTTTAAGGATAGATCCAAAATTATGGTTTATTGAGTTCACAGTTCCATTTTTTTGTTATTTTCATATATAATTACCATATTTGCAGCAGAAGTTCGATTTGCTTAAACGACTTTAAAGATTCTGGGGATACATATTTTTAAAGTTCACAATTTAGTGCAGTTTTGGTCACGTGTTCAGTGAACGCGGCAAATAAAACCCGCAATCAATCTGTTAAAGCGAGTTCCTTTAAGTAGTCCGAAGTACTACTTATAATCTAAGAGTATTGCTATAATTATAACTTTCTAAAAGCCATTCGCTTAGGATGAAGTAAGAAACGATAAAACACTAAGATGATTTGCGTTATATTGAGATAGCTGAATAATTGAAGACTATTGGGAGAGTAGTATTGATCGTTTATGAAATGATTTTGATAAGTAAAAGAGAAGAAAATGATTTTTACTAAAATTATCAATTCCAAATCAATTATATTATGAAACAAAACCATACTCTGACTTTACTGTGTAATTTTAAGAATACTTCTATTGAAAAGAAATCCTCTAAAATCAATGGTGAAACCAAGGTGTTATAAGAGGTACGATAATAAAATTTAAAACTCTGTCGGAAAGAACTTTGTAAGTAATAGATGAGTTAAATTATAAAGAAAATAAATCAATTAATTAATTGGAATTTGTGTGTAGAAATTTCAAGCGTTTTATAAGATTTAGTGTCTGGTAAATATTACAAAATCAATTACTTATAACTAATATTGTGTATAAAAAGTTTCAGAATAATTCTCAGATATATTAATGCGATATAATTCAGGAAGCCAATAATTGAAGATCTCGTCATGTAGAGTGTGAATATTAATTACAGATTTCCTTGTTATTTGTAATTTTAGTTTAAAATAAATTAAAGAAGAATACAAATTTTTTAGTAAAATTATTAAATATATTTTTAACATAATAATAATATTAGTGTTTTTGCATATATGTAAATATATGTAAATTATTTTATTATTAATAAACAAAACATGCAAAGGTTTTTAAAAATCAAACTGAAAGCTAAAGGTTAATATATTCAAATAATAATAAGTACTTAAATAGGAGTTGAGTAAGGAGTATACTGTATTTTTTAAAAAATACTAAACGTCAAGTAGATCATCCCATAGGAAGAAGTTTTAGAAGTCATTAAACTACGCTTAAAAAAGTAATAAGTGTTTAAAAATAGTAATATAAAAAGGTATTATCTAAATTTTAGACATGTAACTACTAAGAACTGGCAATATGCATTGTTCGGGTTTGAACCTTATAAAACGGTATAACTGTTTTATTTCTATACATTTATTTTTATACATCGGCTTTAATTAAATTTTATTAAGTATATACTGTTTAAGACCTGCAATTCCACATATCAATGTAAATAGTTATTATAAGAAACACCCGAACAGTTAGTAAATAAGTCTATTTAACCAGTTCAGAACTTGTTATTGTTACATGTGTACATATAACGTAATATTCACCTGTTTCATTCCAATCATCTGGTGAATCGCCGAGGCTCAAGTTTATTTTTGTGGAATAATTATTATATGCTGGAACAGCTGGTAAGATTGGATCCTGTCGTTTTTCAGCAAGACGGACGCGTTCAGCAACAGTCGTGCTTGCCACTGAAGTTTTCAAGGGATTTTCGGTATTTATGTAAGTAGAAGAACATTTATTTACTTCGATTATGTGATATATTTAATTATCCATACTTACCGTTTGATAAGCTATTCCTTACTGTTGCTGTTGGCATTATTGTGTTACTTATTGGTTTAAGATGCACTCCGAACGGACCGCCACCCTCCCCATCGGTGCTATCTATAATATCATCTAGGTTAGAAAATATGTAGGGTTTTGGCTTAACCGGTTTATTTTTTAATATACCGCGTATGTTAGAGATTTCATCGTTTTCACCATCAGTGGTATCAATCCCACTAGTTGAAGCATAACTATTGCGAGAGCTTTCAGTTAAATTAAATATTTCGAAATGGTTTGGGTTTGAGATTGTAACATTAGTTGGTTCTAGAACATCAGGTATTGGATCTACTAGCGTACCTCTATACGACACTGTGTTTGTGATGTTGGACTTACGACGTTGGTCATCACCAAAGTGTGTCATTGGTAATCCCAAAGTATTACTATTAATATTACCGTTATTATTGCTAACATTAGCAATTGCATTAACAGCTCCCACATTAGTTGCTAACGCACTACTGGTGGTGCGACGACGGCGTCTAAAATTATTTGTTGGTGGTGGCTTGCCATCAGTTTCCACAATATTTATACGTCCAGATTCAGCAGCAAAGTGCACTTCAGTTTTACAAAATTCTACACGTTTTTGTTGCGACCGCTGCAGTAATGATGCAGAAGATGAGGATAATGACGTATGCACTGCTTCAAATGTGTCAGAACGTACAGTTTGTAAGGATTTAGCTCCCGTATCATTGACTATATCATACGTAAAACCATTTAAATTTACTTGTGAAGTCTTACGCAAGTTATCACGCATATATTCACTTTCATCGACAGCTATCGAATGTCTTTTTAGCTCTTCATCCTGTACGTCTTTTGGCGGACGTATTTGTCTATACCGTTTCTGTACATTATTGTTATTATCAGCACTACCTAGTTCGCTAAAATGACCGACTGTTGAGCGCACCAATGGCATTGTTTCTGTTGGTGACCAATGGCCTAATTCACCAGAACGTCCTAAACCACTGTCCGTAGATGTATCCATGCGGAATATAGATTTATCCGCAGGTGGTGACATTTTCTCAAAACCATATGATTTTCTGCGCATATGCCACTCTGCTGTAGATGTATCTTTGAGTTTCTGTCTCGATTCTAAACTATTAGTATGTTTTGTGTCTTTAGAATTTAAAGCTGACCGTTGTGTATCAATTGCTATTGGTTGCTCTTTTGTCACAAAATGAAAAGTAGTATTTGGTAATACATGCTCAGGTGATTGATCAGGTGTAAATTGTCTAAAACGTCTTTCGGATATATCTTTTACTTCTTGAACTTTAATCTGTTCGTTAATTTCAGCAGGATGTTTATGTACAATAAAATCGTCTTTGTATAATGATTCATCGGATAACTTTTTCAGTTTACCTCTTATTTCTTTTAATGATTCCGCAGTAAGAAATGTTGTGCGTTTAGCTGGTATTGGCTTCAGTTCTGAGGACTTATTAAGTATAGTATTTAAGGCAGCTAAGTCCACGTGATTATTACGCATTGCTGTATTAAGTCGACGACCATTCTCTATCTCTGCACGTATTTTAGAAACATTAACAGAAAAAGGCGGCAAATCAAGTGGATGACGAGGACCTGAAGTGCCTGATTTCGAAGTTGATTGAAATGATCGTCGTAATTTACTTACACGTCGCCATTCACCTGAAGCTTCTGTTGTATCATCATTTGCATCCCATTCAGTACTGAGATCATCTGTTGAGATCGATCTAGAACGATGCAACGTTGTGGTGATACTCTGCCTTACGGGATTCAATTGATGTCGCTGATTTCGTGTTGTTAATGTACTAAAATAAGAAATGTATTTTATATATTAACCGAAAATTATCCTCTATATGGAATATATCCTACATTTATTTGTTACATCAATATTAAAGCGCAATTAAAATTTAATATTGTAATTGTAAAAAAAATACTTATAAAGTGCAATTTTATTTTGGACTGAATCCTTTCAAGAAACTTAATATATTGCACGCAATATACATACATATATAGTTTCTTGTGTTCATATATACATCCTAGTACAATATACTTGTTTCTAAATGTACACCTGAATACTGCGATAATAATGTTTATTAATGTCAGTAATCAGTAATAATGAAGTTTATTTGTGAAATTGTTTAAGATAAATCCATTATCTCCACTAGTAGTTTAATTAACTAGTGTTTACTATATTATTGTGCGTAGTGTAATATATAGGACAATGTAGTTTGCACTGGTATCTGATTAGCGTAGATATGTATGTGTATTGTGCTATCACAGGTGACTAGTTTCAAGCTTTTATCTAATTTTCAACTCCACTTTATAGTTTAGGTATTGAACAAAGTCCCATAGAAGTATATATTGTTAACAGAACATGCATACACAAATAACATAATGTAAGCTGAGCTGTCATTTGATTTTTAATAAACAAATGACATTTCACTCAATATCACTTTTAACAAAATGCATTTAAAATGTGATTAAAATGAATAGCGTATAATAATTAATATTTTGATTCCGATTTATTTACACTATAATTCAATATCTTGTGAACAAACAAACCTTACCAATTAACTTTAAAATCGAAAATAAGTGAACATTTCAATCAAAGTAACGAAATACCGAAATTAAAGTAAATTGAAAAAATCTCCGAAAATTAATTAAATGATATCATTTAATGAAATTCAAAGACGTTGCGTACTTACCGTAAATCTTCGTCTTCGTCTTCGTCATCGTCATCGTCATATTCAATATCGTCGTCGTGAACATTGTCATTATTAGCAATTTTACCATACCGGAAACTTTCCAAATCTTGGCGTTGCTGTTGTTGCCGATTCGGTTGCGTTGGTGTCAATCTAACGTTTGCTCGACTCTTGATGCTGCCGCCAATTTGACGGTGTGGAGTATTAACAAATGAATTGGTACCGAAAGTGTTGGTTCTGGGAATAACCTCACCGTGATCTGTAACACGAGTAGCAACAACAATGTATTCATCGTCTTCGTTGCCACCTACGCGCGGCGATGGTGATTGTGATTTTGTCGAACTGTCGTTGCTGCTATTACTGCTATTGCCATAAAAGGCAGGTTGCTCAAGCAGTCGATTTACGGTACGTTTCTCTGGCTGAAGTTGCTGCCAAGGTGTTGTTCTTGCAGGCGGTATACCCGTTGTTGACGAAGCTGGAATTATTGGTGCCACTGATAATGCTGTTGGCAGCTTTCTTATATTACTTGCTTTAATGTCAGTGCTTGTACCACTGTTATTGCCAACAATTGCATGTAGGCTTATTTTGCTCGCGCTCTTGTAGGAGTTTGTTGTTGTTGACGCTGATCTTATTGTTTTCACTGGTGTTATATTACTGCTGCTATTATTACTAGAAATACTCGAACTACTTTTCTGTTTTGTTAAAAAAAGAAACAAAAATTTCAATAAGTTTAGTAAAAATATTTAGCATTATTTTTAAAGAGTAAATAAATAATTGTTAAATATTGAAAAATTTACATTTATGATTTATTATCCGACTTTTTATTTATACTCGTACTAATGAATGTTATTGAACAAAAAATAAACTTAAATTGCATTAAGTTCAGCTTCCCTACATACAAAAATATACCCTACACTCGGTATAATTGACTCAATATGTATCAATAACACCGATTTCGTTTATTATATGTGAAGGTGGAAGTGAAAGTGAAAGTGGATGTGGTGTAGAGAATATACAGTCGTTTTTACCTAACGGATGTGCTTTTTAACTAAACACTTTTCTTCTTCTGTTATAGAACTTAGACCTAAATGTGAATTGAGTAATATAATATCTTCTTAGATTAATTCATAATGAAATTTTTTTTCTGAAGTATGCTCTTCAAAGTGTACATATACATACACTTTTTTTGTAATAAACTTTGAACGATAATTTATATTGTAGGTCTTGTACAATCGAAACTTGATTTATATCAGTTGTTCCGTTTTGTAGTGATTTATTCAATTTACAAAAACAAACAAAATAAAGAAAAAATAAACAAAAGTTAAGAAAACTTAAAATTGTGCATGTAGGCGAGTTGTGATTCTAATCAATCAAGTCATCTATACACTTTCCTTGATCGATTGCGGCTGTTTGGAATCTAAAGCTTTGATATTATAATTCCTAATATATTTGATATATGTACATATATATGTTTGAAAACAGATGCTCGTTTATGTAAATCGTTCGAGTTGAACTGTATGTATGTCAAAGAAGATCTTCTTTGATATATGTAACATAAAAAATTCACCAAGCGAGTACGTTATTGTGTGATGAGAGGAACTGATGAAAATGGAACGTTGTTAAAAGTTTGCATATTGTTTGAAGTAAAATATTCATAATTATTTGAAAATCATGAATAAATAAATATCGTTTCTTTATCAGAATCAAAAATAGAATATCTTGCTGTTTTAACTGCAGTGGTACATGATCGCAGAAATATGCATCGCATTCATCGAAGGCAATCACGTGATTCAACTGACCCATTTTAATCAAAAAATTCCTGGAAGCTAATTTCAGGTAAAATAATGATTCAAAATGGTGACTGGGTGGTTCTGGATATCCTCTTCAACCATGGTTAATCACTACTTGTAGAAATACTGAAAATGCAAGCCAGCGAAAGTTCAATGCAAAGGATATTAACGCTCGCAAAAGCATTGAACAATTGTATTGAGTTCTTAAAAAGGTTTTTGCATGCTTGTTATTTAAGCGTGTTCTGGTTGTTAGCCCAGAACACGCCGGAGTTACAAGAACACCAACAAATAGAAACCGATTCTGCAGATTTGAACAGCAGTACTTCTGTTTTATATGAAGGCCGAACGTACTCTTCGATTTCTTCTATTACAAGGAATTATTTTCATAAATTTTTTCATTAATTAATTAATTTCATATTCAAATGAAAAACTGTACTTAAATTTGTTTTAAGATTGTTTTTATTATAATTATTGTATTTAATATAATTAAAGTACTAAAGAAACAGTACAATATATATTTGTAAGTAATTACATATACATTGTGACCGAAAAGTTTCCGGAAAATTTTAAATAAAACGCAAAATTCTTAATCTTCATCAATATTTATTTTATCTCCTTCAAAATATGCTCCATTAGAAGCGATACACAAATGCCAACGTTTCTTCCAATCATCAAAACATTTTTTATAGGCGCTTTCCGGTATGGCTTTGAGTTCCCTCTGCGAATTCTGTTTTACGTCTTCTATGGATTCAAAACGCGTTCCTCTGAGTGGTAATTTGAGGTTGGGAAACAGGAAAAAGTCACACGGTGCAAGATCAGGTGAATACGGTGGCTGTTCGATGGTATTTATTGAATGTTTGGCCTTAAAATCGTTGATAATGTTGAACAAATTGAGGTGAATCGGAACAAGCCGGGCGTTGACACGTCGCATACACAAATTGTCCACCAAAATCAAACGAGCCATCTCACGACCGATGCCTAGCTCTCGTGCTATCTCTCTAACACTCACATGAGGATTTTTGAACACGATTTCCTTTGCCTTTTCAATGTTTTCGTCGGTGGTAGAGGTCGAAGGTCGTCCAGAACGCGGCATGTCTTCGACGGTCGTACGACAGTCCTGAAAGGCTTTGTACCACTCATAAACTTGAGTTTTCGATAAAACTGATTCCCCATAAGCCTTTTGTAGCATTCGCAACGATTCTGCACACGAAATTTCGTTCGAAAAACAAAATTTGATGCAAACTCTTTGTTCAATATTTTTTTCCATTGTTTTTTTCGCAACGCACTACTGAGGTGAACTGGTTTCAACAGCTGCCGTAAACGAACTGTCCGACAGATCGCGCTCATTTTTGGCATAGTAATTAAGGACAGTGCTGCCAAACTACATAAACTTAAAATATCGAAAAATATACAGCGCGCGAATTTTAAATGAGAATTTCCGAAAGCTTTTCGGTCACAATGTATGTAATTACATATGTATATAGATGCTTTGGAGAAGTAAACTTGCTATCTAAAATTTCTTCACTCTCAAGACATTCAATCGTTAAGAAATCTGATTGCTGATACTGTAGAAGAAAACAGAAAGTGTTCTTATTAATAAGAAAAACACAAAAAACATGTCTTTTATTTACCGGAATGCCTGCTTCAGGAATATTTTGATACTCATCCACTCTAAAATGCTCTAAAATTATTGGATTCTCCAGAAGCATTTAGATCTTCAGCACAGTTTCGCCAAAAGTTTTCAGTATTTTTATGACTATCCGGACCAGAAAATTGACCGCGAGCAATACAAATATTTTGCCTTAGCAGCTCTAATGATTTGTATTTTTGTGTCTTTGACACACGACCAGACAAAATTTTTTTCTTAAAAATCACAAATGAAATTTACATATCAATTTATTAACAACAATTTTCAATATATTTAATATAATATATACATATGCATCTATATCATATGTATTTTATATCACTCATTACTACGAATATATCACTTTTAATAAACATTTTATTTAAATTAAACAAATCTGTTCAATATCACTTTGTATAACTTTAAATTCAAATTTCAAAACATCTCCTGAGCAAATTGACAGGTGACAAAAACTCGAACGAAAAAAAGTAAGAAGAAAATTCACCACAGTTAGGTAAACACTTTGAGTGACTAATTGTCAAAAGTGAGATAATCATTCGCGAAACGAGGTGAGAATCTACGGCTCGATTTTGTGACTGCAAAATTGACGTTTATTATTTTTCCTTTGAAGCTTTGATGTCTATATATGTATGTATGTACATGTACTCGAAGGAATTAGATTGGTGACTGAAAAAGATGAGAATAAATTTGTTTCTGTTATACGTTGGATGACTGTACTAAATTGAGTTGTCAATATTTCATATCTACTACAGACAGAAATGAAACTATTTTACACGATTAATTTATTTTCTTCACATTACTCGAACTAATTGTTTTAATTATGTTATTTTTCGATGCTACTGTTGCTGCTATACTAACGAATACCGAATTTTAACGGGAATGATAATCGGTACTTAGTTGTCGTAGACAACCAAGCTCCAGGAACTATGATAATCTAATATTGTTAAAAGCTATGCCTGCGTTAATCATGTTTTATTTCCATATTTATATTATATATGTATATGAATAGACAAAAAGAAGTTGGGTTTATTGTGTTCGCTAAACTTTAGAGTGGATCACATTTTTATAATGATTAGTAGTATCCGGATATTTATACTTTTTCATTTAAGAAATGCCAGGTAAGTTTATCACTAATGAGTATTTTATTAAGATTTATGCTTCAACTTGAAAGCAATCAACATAACTGTAATTTCGGAAAAATTTGCCTATATTACAAATTTACTAAGGATAAAGCCGTTTTGGGAAAGGAATGCTGGCATGACATAAGACGTCCGCCTGTTGGGATAATAAAATGCCATATTTACGAAAAAAATCAGATTTTACTACTTCTAATGAAATTTTGTGTACATAGTTAAACTCTATATTAAAAAGACACATTTTAGTATGTTTTTATAAATTCTTCTTATGAATTCCAAAAGTAGTGAAACTCTGTGAAACTCAGCACGAATGGAAGAGTGTAGATTTTGTATATGCCCCAATCGGCCTGCTTGATTCACCACTAGATTAAAACTAAACCCTAATGTGATTCAACGCTATCAGCGAAAAACTTTCCATTTTTTTCGACAAGTGCAATATATAATTGAACTTTATGTAATAGGTTATATTACATAGAAACATTATGTCTATGTGATATGCTTAAAAAGCTATTGGATACTAATTTTTGATAAAATGCATTGATATGCCCTCCTATAGGTGAAGAATTACTGTGAAATCAGTATTACAATTAATTAATAAACCATCCTCCATACGGACAGACAATGTTTTCATATAATTTTACACATTATATCAGTGATGCACAGTTTATATGTTGCAATACTAGCTTGCACACCTATGGTCACTCATACGGTTTGACGAGCATGGGATTCTTTTCCTAGTGTGTATAAACCGCAGTGTATATTTATAGCAGTTTACAACATTACAAAGAAATTACAAATTGCTATATTCTGTTTTTAGGTATATAAGTAAAAGGGTTAAATAGCGAAGAAAAGGAAACAAGTACCCTTCGGACGAAAATGATTAAAATTCAATATATTAACTATATATATGTACTAATAAATTTTAAACAGTGAATGCCTAAATGAACTACATATGTTAGCAAAGCTTTCTTACAACCCAAGGAGAATCCAATACTTACCATAAGATTACTCAATTTTATACTTGGAGCCGTATCTAACAATAATGAATGATTGCTGTTGGTGCCATTGTGGGTATTGTTGTAGATGTTTAGTGAGTGATGTTTAAATAAATGACTTGAATGACTTTTACTGCCACTACTGTCACTATCCTTATTTTGAAGATAATAGTGTTGATCGATTGCAGAATCATCAATATCACTTTCATCTGCGTGCTCTACAACGGCATGAGCGTCAGTACTTACGGTAACATCATCATCATCAATGTGATCCACCTCGCATATATTCAAAGTTGGTGGCCAAGGGTCGGCTAACTGAAATGGTTTATGAAAATGACTGTGATGTACTGAGTTAGTGCTATGATGGCTACTGCTTATGCTGGGTAACGCATTATGTGCTTTAGTGAGGATTGGTGATGATGTTGCTGATGCTGATGCAGATGCGCACGCGGATGCTGACTTTGATGATGACCAACGGGATGAAGTTTTTTGTACAGTCTGTGTGCGTATAACTTGCATTGCTCCACGTGAAGTGCGCGCTTGCAATACTTCGAGTTGTTTGCGTTGTGTGTGTTGTGTGCCGTCTGGTTGTGAAATATTTTGGGAATCGGATATCTGGAAAAAGGAGAAGGATGTTAGGTTCAATTCGATGTGAATTCATGAAGTGTAAATTTTACGAACTAAGGATAGTTATTGTTATGACATAAATTAACTAAATAGGTCGTTATTAAAGTTAAGCATTAGAAAATAGTGAAAATAGTCAATTCAATAGAAAAAAATTAAATGAAGGAATAACTTTATATGGTATATGATTATATGATGATGATCTGTCTTACTAACACTATAAACACAGAATAATTAAATTAAATTAATTGAATATAGTTTAGTACCTAGCAGGAGATAAATATCTCATGAACCAGATGTTAGAATAAACAAAAATAAATAGCATTATCTGATTGAAACTTTTTTGTGCCATCACAACAATGCACTAACTCATTCACCTGTGATTGACATCATAAATTGGTCTTATATGACAACTAATGCTCCCGCACTTCTCATACTCACTACTCACACTTAAGTTTTATTTTAAAATTTTTAAAAGCGACTCGGTGAAAAAAAGTTTTGATTTTGCTAATAATACAATTCGATGATCATGCGTATATTATTTTTTGAAGATCATATAAAGTTAAAGCGACAACCGCTATCAATTGGATTTGCATTATCAATGTTTATCAACGAGTCCTAATAAATTACTGTAGCTGAAGCCTATGTGGTTCTCCCAGTTCCTATACTAATAATTTTACTTAAAAGTATTAGGAATTACAGACTTGAAGTAAGGACACAATGTGCAGCCCCAACATAGCTGCCTGATGGAATAAACAAATTTTGCTCTATTCTGCTTTTACTAAATGAATGGATTTCTCATTTCATTTCTTTTAAATTGATATTTGAATCAAATAAGAAATAAAAACTTAATATGGAAACGGCTATTTATAATCGCAACCTTTCTAAAAATTATTTCCGGCTTGGAACTGTAAAAAAGGCGTTCCGATTTCTTACAAGCAGTTACAGCTCAACTATACATTTTTATGGCTGATACTTAATTTCAGTTTTAACCTCTTATCCACGTGTCACATTTTCCTCCAATTTATTAAGTTGATTACCACACCTAAGGTTTTCGTTGCACCAATCACTGCCTCATTCATTAAATTACGAAGTATCTTGCTGTCGCTACATATAAAATTGCACAGATACTTTTAAAGCGCGAATGGCACCATTATTGAGGTACTGTGCGGTTGTTGCTTTGCAAATCAAAAACTGAAGCTCTAAAATTAGAAAAAAATAGAAGCATAAAAATAAATATTATTCAATGCACCTAAGACACACATAAGACTCTTTTTAAAATTAAAATAAAAAATTATTATGCCAGCTTGACACTCGTCTCGTGATAGCCAAATAGATTGGCTTAAAGATTTATGACGGTCAATATGTTGTATGAAACGTGGCATGTGGCTTGTGGCCCGTCCCGGCTAAGCCAACCAGCCAGAATAAATTGAGAACAATTTGTGGTCAAAGTGCATATTTGAAAGATATAAATACTAAGCAAAACTCGAACTGACAGACATACATGCCAAGCCGTGACAATGTTGAGTCATATAAAGTCTATATTCCATTATACAAAACAACCTTATATATCTATGAAATATAATAGTGCTGCTATATAAAACAAGCAAATGTGAGAGCATACAAGACAAATTAAATTTACCTTTTTGTTCTATGCAAATGTATCTGCAAATGAATTTGAACAACAATCGACAATATTTTATACTTTCTTATTTAAGTTGCCAATAAGTAGCAGTACAAATTGATATAATACCGATACTTGTGAAAAGCCATTGGCAACGCACGTTTTTACAGTTTTTTAGTATGAATTTGTAATTTGAAGGTTAGAAATGTGTATAAAAAACTTCCCACGATTCACTTTTTTAATCAGTTTGATTATTTCCTGGCGAATCGTTTTCTGATTTCTTTTTCAGGTTGTGCCATTTCAATTCGTCCATTTCAATTTTGAATTCTACACGGCAAACCAAGCTAAGTAGCAAGCCAAGTTCAACAATTGTAACTAAAGACAATTTAAAGCCAAGACTCAAATTATTTTTGACCTCTTTTTACTCTATGAATCGACTAAGTTGAACCTCAATCGCCTTTGCCCCTCTTTCGGATCTGCTCATGCAGTAGACACACATCAAATAAGGAAAAGATTTCACCCAATTTTTTGTTTGATGTGCTGGGAAAATGCTGGAAAAAATTGCGGCTGAAATGTGACAATAGTGACTGGTTTTGCAGCTAAATTTTTTCCAAAGACACAAAAGCAATAGGAATGACTAGGCAGTTCGTTCAAAGAAAATTGATATAAAACAGCACAAAGAAGATATTTTATAAAAACAAAAACAATGAAAACCATATAAGACTCGAGAAAAAAGAGTTCAACAACTTTTGTTGCTAAATTATTAGAACACCAAAAATACCCAGAAATTCAGTTTCAATGAACACCGCTGACGCAATGCCTGGTTAATTTTAGAGCATAAAATGTCACTAAAAAAAGTATATACATATATATTTAAAATAGTGAAAATGATAAAAAATTATATAACTATAGACAAATACACATATAAGCCATATATTATCAGTTGGCAGAATGTTCGCATCACGATTACAAATTCTTTTTAGAGTAGTCGGAGCTAAACTCAGAATTCTCCCAATGCCAGCAGGTTTTTCTCCAAGTTTAAAACGTTTTAAAATGTCTAACTTTTGTTCCAAGAACATTTGTTCTTGATTTTTATTTTTATACTATATAAAGCAGAAATTTGACTTTCCACTTCACCACACAAATGTAAACAGACACCTTTTTACTTAAAACTTAATACATATATGTCGCTTCTCTCTTTGCTGGGTTCCTGGACATAGCAATATTGAAGGGAATAAACTAGCAGATGAGATAGCCACAAGAGGATCTGAACTGCATACAGGAAGGGCGACCTCTCAATACATACACGGATATGCGAACTGTATAAAATAATAGAGGACTAATAATTTATGGGCTAACTGTGAAGACTGTGAGATAGTTAACTAAAATGGTTTATATAAATGGACATAGCATAAGAAGACATAAGAAAAATGAAAAAATTCTTGTCATCTTGCTTAAAAATAATTATCCCAAACGGACCATATATTCTCTTCTACAGCAAGAGAATACAGTGCGTAAAAAAAATTCTGACCCCCAACCAAAAATTTATCTTCCTATGACGTATATCCCTGGCTTTCATAATGCTATAATGAAGACACGCACACATTGGCTTTCAAAGCTAGAAACACGCTTAAAAATTATTTTTTTAACAAAACAAAAACTTTAATGGACAAATTAGATGAGCATGATGTCGTATACAAAATTCCATGCGGAGGTGACGGGTCTAACATATGCCAGCAGGTATATGTTGGTACAACAAGAAAACAAACTTGGGACAAGAATCGGTGGTCACAAACGCAACAAAAAGAGCAGATCAACTCCCAATGACCAAAAGACAGCATTAGCAACCCATTGCTCTATGATGAACCGTAATCCAAATTTTGAAGAAGTACAGATCATCAACAAAAAGCCAAATTATAGACATAGACTAATGCTGGAAATGTTACACACTATTGGTGTTCCGGACAACCAGAGACTAAACTACAAAGAAGACACAAAGGATCTTGCACAAATGCACAGGTCTCGGATTAACCATAGATAAATTTAATATATAATTAATAAATTTAAAATTATAATTTATCTTCCATTGTTTGCTCATTTGAAATTTCTTCTTTTTTTTGATTTTAATTTCAAATTTTATTGTTTTTTGAATTTATGTTTTTGCTTTTGACTAAAAACATTCAAATGTTAAAAATGACAAACATTGTTGTCTCCTTCAATGTTTGGCATTTTTAACAATGTTTTTCAATGTTTGGTTTTTTTTTTGGATATATGTTTATATGATTATTTACATCTATTTAAATATGTAATTTCTTTCTTTGTATATTATTATTATACAGTCACAATCGGCACAAATTGCTTATGTGCTTAGTGGAAAATAGTTCACTATTGTTGCATCATTTCGTTAAATTATTATCGTTCTCAATGGTTGTCGAGTTTGAAATAACTGTTAAGACTTCAAAAATATCGCATTCGCTTCTATCTGAAGACTCAACATCACTCCTGGGTTCATATGTAGATTCTTTATCAAGCACATCTTCATACCATCCTTCAGTATGTTCTATACAAATGCTATTGTTCCGATCTATTTCTGCTAAAAGAACAGAAATAACATAGATAAATCCATACAAAAAAAATTAGAATCAAAAAAATCAGAAATTTGAAATTTTTATATCTAATTTTGGAGCGTTTAATGCTTTACAAACTTCAATTCTAATTTCTGGAAGATTCGAATTTCAGAGAGTTCTAATTTGTGAACTTCAACTGTATATGTTACTGAAGATGATCCGAAATATTTGTGATATAAATAATTTTGTATAAAAATTAAAATATAACTAAATATTTAACAAAGTTTAAAAACTGTAATTTTTTATTTTATTTAAAAAAACATTTCTATAAATTTATATGTTAAATAAACAACCTAAGCCCAGTAACAAATACAAAAACTAATTGAATATTGGTCGTAATAACAATTTATTTTAAATTTATTTTTTAATATTGCCTACTCCTGTTATTCAAATATCTTAGAGTTGTACTGAATTCTAAAGAAGACATAATACTTACATATAAAATTTTTCGTGTCTATATAAAATATAGTAAATGTGTATAGTAAATGCTTAATTAGACCAGTGCTGGCGAACGGCTGCGAAATATGGATATTGAAAGAAAACGAAACATGCCAACTACTATTCCATGAACGGAAAGAACTGAGAAAGATTTTTGGCCCAAAACGCCTAGATGATGACTACAACCACAAACTAGAGAACTCAATCGGCAAATAGAATACAATGTTATAAATAAAATCACAACGACTAACATGGATAGGACATGTTTGGCGTATGAACCGAAAACGATCAGCGAAAGAAGC